TTAAAGTGTACAACGGGCTTAAGCCTATTTCAAATACTGAACATGAGCCACATTATTTATCTACATATTAGCTATTTATCTAAGAAAAGAGATTTACTTATAATTTTATGATTTATAGTTCTGTAATATAGTGAGCTTCTTTAGTTTATTTATTTACTTTTTATTTCCAGTTCTCAAAAGCACACATCAGAAGTGATTGTTGTAAGCTATATTCTTTTTTTTTCTTTGTGTTGTAATTGTTTGTTAGTTAGATGGTGTATTACTAGAAAGTTCTAATTTGTCGTCAAGTTTTGTTATATCACTTTCGAACGTAGATTATAGATACAAAGTTCCCTGAAAAATAAAGTTAGTTGTGATAAAAGAGAATTATCGTATCATTTTCTACAAGTAAGTGGATTGTTTGTACGTTAGTCTTAGTACTGTTAATGTTATTAGAGAAGTTTAACGTCATTTCCACTCTAGGACCACCAAAAGTTACAAAGTGTAAAAATTGTGTAAAGATTCGTTAATGAGGAAATAAACTGATTTGTTTTTCTAAAGTGAACTGGACATTTAATTATTTTCACCAAACAATTCAAAAGAACCTGCTAAGTAAGAACAACGTTACAACAATATTAAAAACTGTGTTATGCTGTTTTACAAAATATTTATATGTTTTACAATTTAATTGTTATATATGAGAAATACCTCATGTATATGAAAAATAATTAAAATATCTCTACCCTATTTCTGATTTGAAATTACCTAAATAAAATTTGTAAAAATTACCCTCCATAAATTGTATGAACAACAGTTTGATAATATAAATAGCTTCCCATCCACTACTAAATCTGTCATGTCACAGCCGGCCTGGTAAGCTCTTGTATTGGATGAAAGGCCTCGTTGGCGCTGGATAAAACAGATATAGTGTGGTTGACATATTATTACACAATCTCTTTTACTTTTATTCATAAGTTATTAAAATTTAACTAATTTATCTTAGTCATTTTATTAATACAATTTTCAGAGGACTACATTTACTTTTTTTTTCTGTCTGCAAGAATGCTTTAATTTGTTCCGAAATAACTCTTATGCATAAATTTTTCATCATCACAACTTCTTATCTTAATACACATATCTTGAACTCTGAAAAATAATGTAGTTTGTAGATGGTGGACGTTTTTATTTTCATTGAAAACTTGTATAACTTTTGTACCATGTACGTATCATTAGCTCCCTCTATTGATATTAACAAAAAGTTTAAGAGGCATTTCACACTAAGTAAAAACTTAAACAGTCTAAACACGAACAAAATAATTTTACAAAGTTCATGAAAATGAAGAAATGTGTATTGATGAATAATTCATATATTAAGAAATATAAAATATTAAAAAATAAATTAATGATTAAGAAGCGAAATTTTTGGTTAATTTAATTAATTTACTAAATCCACGCATCATTACATTATTTCAACAAACCAACTTGAATTCTTGAAAATCGAAGTATAATTGCTTAACAATTATATTTTTAAAGTCTTACGAATTGCAACAAATCCTTGAAACATTTTGAATAAAAATATGTTACTATTTTTCTTTTATATCTGTGTAACATTTTGTTATTGTGTATGTTACAGTGGAAAAATAACTTTTAATTTGAAGTCTAAAATTTTTGACATACCTGTGAACTTTGAAGTATTATATGATATACAAGTCAACCTACTGAAACAGTTAACCGGAGAATTGGTAGAGGTAAATATGCACCATTTTCATGATGAACGAGGTAGGAATATCTACGCTACTCGTCTCTAGTTTTAAACTGATATACTAGAGGAAAAGGCAACTAGTCATCAACCACCGCCACAAACTATTGGACTATTCTAGTCGAATAGCGCGATTTGACACATGGTCCTAAAATACAAAGCACACTTTTTCTTGCGTAAACAGTACATGAGCCATAGAACGTAGGATCCTCAGCCCGAGACGTTAACCTTTAGGCCGCTCCTGGCACTATAAAATAATAGTGTGACACTAGATTATACAATGTACAGTATGGAGTACAATATATGCAGGGGAACAGTAATTGATATTGTATTTTAAGAAATTGTTTCATAAAGAAAATTAATATGTGTTAAAATGAGTTCTTCTTTTTGTGTGTGATTTCCTTCTGGTGTGTCATTTTCTTCGACATGTAGTGCTTTTTCTATCGTAGAAACTAGTCTTAGGTTACGTTAAGAGTTAACTACAGTGATTATAAAAGAGGTTCCCGATACGTAAGTTACTATATCACTGATTCCACGCTTTAATATTAAAAGGCTATGAACTATTATACTGAGAAAATCTGAGGTATTAGATGCATATAATGTATCAGTCCTAATAACAGTAGTAACCAGGCCGCAACTACTTATCTTACTGGTTGGATCAAATCCACGGGTCCAAACCTCTTGGGGGGCCCTCATAATAGTTAACAACAGTGGTATCATTTTTCTTTACGTTCCCATTAGGTCTAATTGCCCCGATAGCAATAACAACATCTATATCTCCTGCAAATTAGTGTTTTACCGAGAAATTTATCTAAATCCTTAATTTTTTGCCGTATTTGGGGTAAAAGTGATTTTACCGTGTATTTTGTGGTCTGTTTAAATACACTGATATTATGATGCCATAATAATAGTTCCATTTATAGTATGACTCATCTTATAGCTGACTTTTTATTTAACTTGTTGATTCTGGCTGTTGATGAAACTTAATATTTTTTCTGTTTTATCTTAACACATAAATTAATACTTTTAAATATTATTTCCGCGAACTTACAACGCTAGGAACCAGGTTTCGATACCCGTGGTGGGCAGAGCACAGATAGCACTTGTGTAGCTTTGTGCATAATTAAAAACAAACAAACAAACTTTCAAATATCGAGGATAATCTCTTAAAAAGTCCTAAATATATGTTTTTTTATAATTATCATACGTATAACGCCCCAATCTCTTAATGGTATCAACCGCACAAAGAATCTTCCCAAGAACCCAGTCGAACTATAAGAAGAAGAAGATATTTAAAGCATTAGTCGCCTTTCGAGAATTAAATTTGAATGGAAATCAACTTATAATTTTTTTCTATTCCTGTGAACTCCCAGTGGAGCATAGGGCAGCAACAACACCTCGTCAACGGAAGGTGTTGTTGCAGTTACTTGTAGCAGGTTGGTTTTTCTCACGGGTTCAAAGGCAAAGGCGGAGGTTGGCATGTTTGGTGTGAAGGGGATTCGAACCTGCGACACTCAGATTACGAGTCGAGCGCCCTAACCACCTGGCCATGCCGGGCTTTTAACTTATGAATAATAATCCTAAAAATTAATATTCGTCTACAGAATGAATTGTTTTAAGCAAAATATATACAACATGCACAAATATTGTTATACGCAAAATACAGTGTGTGCTTGTTTTCTTTTTTGTTTAGAAAGGTAAACATTTCCTTTTCACCAAAATTTCAACATTTTTCGCAATTACATGCGTCTGGCACACATGTTGAGTGTATAACGTGCAGGTAATCAGCTTTGTAATGCAGTGACCTTCTCCCTTGCTAATCACCCACTGTCAAAGGTCCTTTCTCCTTTGGTATTTCTGAACTTTCCCACGGTGGGAGTCGCTGAAGAATTCCTCGGAAATATGCCAATCGTATAGAGATCTTACCTATTTGTTCTGAGGGAATAACCAGTTGACGTGGGTGATAAGTATGTTCTAGATGCCTTGAATCTGTTCGAAGAAGTATACAGTCGTGGATCCTCTCAGATTGATCTGGATGGATTTCTATTAGTACAAATATTATCAACACTTAAAGAAAGAAATGTAATTCCTTTTTCGTTTTCGTGCACTTGTTATAAGTTTATATGCTCATTTTATTTGTGCATTGTTTAATGAAGTTTAAAAGCTTTTTTTTTAGATAATTTTTTTGCATAATGGTTAGTTAAATGTCAATAAATATCCGACATTCCAGAAGGTAAATGCCGCCAACACGTAAAGTAAGCGTAAGTAATTTTTTGTCACCAATTTCCATGAGAATGTTTAAGTAATGAGTTATGACTGATTTAAAGTTATTCAAATTTTTCAGTTACAAATTATTAATGTCGCTGAGAATGAATAGAATTTATTCTTCTCACAAATACGGGTTTAAGCAGGTGACTAAACAAAAAGACGTTTTTTTTTTATATTTTGAATCAACATTTAACCTCTCTATTTACAAAGAGGAAATTACATTTAATGTTTCACTTTCATAATTAAACACCAGTGAACACCTAAATTTGCAAGTTATCTTAGATATTTATTCACGAAAAAATGTATAAAAAATTCAATATATAACGATTTTTAAAGATTTTAGCACTGCATTATAGTAAATACACTACTTTTGTTGATGAAGGAATTTAGCGTTAGTAAAGCTTTACACGCTTTGGTATAAATGTCTCGAAATGGTTTTAAAGAAAATGTCTATTATATCGGGCTAGGGAACTCAACAATATTATGATACGTCTTTCTTAAACCTGAGATAAATTTAAATATCCATACAATAGTTTGATGTAACAAACGCTCAATAAAAACTTAACACTAATTATTTTCATATTTAATCTGTCAGATCCGCCTCTGTGGAAATGGTATGAACGTACTAGCAAAATAATAACGCTTTTGTTTCCACTGGTAGATGGCGAACAATGTCGCTGAATTGTTCTGTATGGCATATTTAAGTAAGTAAATAAACATTAAAGTATGCAACGTTTCAATACCGGCTGTTAAACCCTGCTGTTGAAATGTTCTGTACATCGTATACAGTGAAGTAAAATAAACATAACTTGAAGAACGTTTTAACATTAATGTATGAACTATGCTGTTAACATGTTTTATTCAACGTAAGTAACAAAGTATATAACTTATGCAACGTTTTAAAATTTTATAAAAAGAATTTTACCGTTAAGTTGTTCTGTGTTTAAGCAAGTTATACAACGCGCAATACTTTCCTAAGTATCCTTACACCAAACTAGTAATGAGGAGAAAGGGCGGGAGGAGCGTGATAATTGGTCCCTGTAAAGGGCGAAACACCAACTCGGTTACTACTAACCGCTCCATGAGGCGAAACGATGTGCCCAGCCAAGTTTACCGGTCTGACAGGTGAAGATGCAGAATTTACACCATAATGGGCAGGATGAGGCAAAGCTACGTGGGTTGGAATGACAGGTTCAGGACCCAGATAACGATGAGGTACCTTGTAACCACGAGCACCATACCCTGTGAAACCAGGAGCAGAATAAGAATCCTTGATCTGTGCAGGAGATTCCTCAGCAGTGATTTCAACGTTAGCAGGGTTATCATTAGTAACACCAGGCTCGTTGGATTCGACTGTTGCCCGGAAACCCTCAGCATCGGCAATGTATTGTACCCTACGGTAGAGCCCTAAAGCGTCAGTGTAGCCATAGCTCCCATGTACGTTACCATACTCGTCTCCGGACTCTTCCCGCTGATGAATGTTACCATCGTCGTCCTGTATCTGGTGGCCGAAGTTGAATGGTTTAGGAGGCTCCTAATGAACAATATAACAAAACATAAAGCAAAGTTATAATTCCTAAGTTTTAACAATGTAAAAGTTTCTTTCTGGAAATAAGTATATCAACCATATAAGTTATGATTACAACTTTATAAGAGCAAAAGTTGAGGAATGTATTTAACAATAACACAAAAAGCACAAGTTCGCGTAATTTAGAAATAGTTTTTCTAGGTAAATGGCTTAGTTTTTATAGAATTTTTATAACAATAAGAAAATAAGAAGAAACTTCTGTCGTAGTATAAAAACGAGGGAAGGAAAAATAAACACATTTTATAATATAGACGAAGCAGAATCATTAAACAACGCCAATGGTCCAGAAACATGTTTAGAAAATTTTTAACATTAAAGTTATGAGTTCGTATGCACGTTGTATTCAGTAATTCGAGTTTCATTTCCAACATTATGTGTTTACTATGAAATGTTTAATGACCATCAACCGTATCAGATTTGTGTAAATGACAAGTCACATTACAAATAAGCTACGTACCTCGTATATATCAGGTTTTAGACCAGTTCTAGTCTTGTAAAGCTGAGGTGGTTGGTAAGCTTGAACCGGAAGTGGAGACTCATAGGATTCTGCAAAAACGGAAGTGACGCAAGTAGCCAATGCTACGAGATACAGCAGTGCGACCTAGTGAACACAAGAATAATTTTTACAGCAGAATCAAATGTGAGAGAAACTGCTAAGTTAATTAAGGACCGAGAAACTACATAACTTCTATTCAAAGTGTGAGTTTTTGAGTGCCATTTGAAACTTAGATTAAATGGTTGTGTTGATATAAATAGTAATGTCTACATTTACATACTTTCGTGCACCTAAATATTTTACATATAGTTATTAGAATGCAGATGAAAAAGAATAGTTTTAGATCGTAATTTACTTTATAATATCCGCCATACTGTCGAGGGGTTTCAATTCAACTGGCGTCATGTAATGTACCAATTAGTTTATTACGTGATTCTAATAGACTTTTTATTAAGATAGCATCAATCAATGTTTTATACTATAAGAAATAAATACTGAAAATTAATTTTAGCTGAGTTTTTCATAGATTTTCAATAAAAATTTATCCATCATAGGGAGGACTATGATTCTCCATAGTGCTCTAGTCCTCTATAACCACACCAAGTTCAAAAATTCAAGTTTCTCATCTTTAATCCACTGTATAATGTCATTGAGTTTAGAGAGTATCTGCCTGCCTCTCGCCCTTCATCCTTTGATTTTACCCATCAGAATTTCTACCAGCCTTCCCCCAGATCTAATTATTCGCTCAAAGTAGTAATAACAAATCGGATATAATAATAACGTGAAATGGTTTTTCCGTTTACCAACCTTAAACATAGTTCGATTCTTAATTCAGGCATTTGCAACTAAAAATTTCAGTAAATTGGTTCAAAGTTTCAAATAAGCCGGTTATCAAAATTCAAGAATCCTTCCAAATCCACCCTTATCAACAAATTAAGTGAAAACTGAGACTAGCGGTATTTGAGTTGAATAACTTAGTTAACTGAAGTATCATTTGGCAAGAGGAATCGAGGGTTTGAATCCTTCTCGGTCTTATTTCTCCCTTGTTGCTATAAATAAATAATGAAATAAATAAACTAAACACATTCAATACATTGAACCATCTAGAACTGTTTTACACAAAGCAATAGATGTCAAATGGTATTAAGATATAGTTAAAACTATACAGCTAATTTTTTACTGATGTGTCATAGACTGACAGTTTTTACTCATTTCATGAAACCACGTGTACTGGCATTTAATAAATACAAAAGCTTTCCAAATGTCCATCATATATGAACAGAAATCCAAATATATAAACTGATAAAAGTAGGTTAATTATTAAAGGGGCATATATTTCAATATCTCCCGCCCAAAAATGCGGATCCCTTAATTCGTATGGACTTGATAAACCACAAGACCCTTCATTATTGCTCATAGGCTTCTTTCCATAAGTCAATGATATTATAACCAAACATATGCATAGCAAAAGTTATACCTCTTGGAAATTAAATCCTATAGTCGTGGACTTCTCTTTCCTTTCGCTGCTTCCAGATGGCTCAGTGACAAGCTGCAGGATTTATAACTCTAAAATTTGGGGTTCAGTCACACTTACTTAACACGGCATTATCGTATATGTGTATCTAAGTAAGAGCCTATTGCACCATCATACAGCTATGATCCACTAAGCTCCTATGGCATCGTCATTAGAATATTATGTTCCATTAAGCTCTACTCCCCTATCGAACAACATTAAATCAACACGGTGCTATAAGAGAGAAATATCCCACTAAGCCCCAGTGATACTATTATACTTCAGGATTCTGCTAACCCTGATTTGGCATTGTTATGAAACCATTCCATAGCTATATTTCATTGGGCAATTAGAGCGCTATATTACACTTAAATCCGAACTGGTTACAATAAGAACTTTTATGCAAATACGTTTTAGTGAGCCTAACTGTACATTAATAGAGATAAATTTATGATAAAAAGCAACCTCTACCCCATCGTAAGAGTATGTTAACCATAACTATATTCTACAGTGTACCAACTGGGATACCTCATCATATTGTTCACACATATTTTACAGTGTACCAACTGGGATACCTCATCATATTTATCACACATATTTTACAGTGTACCTGCTGGGATACCTCATCATATTTATCACACATATTTTACAGTGTACCTGCTGGGATACCTCATCATATTTATCACACATATTCTACAGTGTACCAACTGGGATACCTCATCATATTGTTCACACATATTTTACAGTGTACCTGCTGGGATACCTCATCATATTTATCACACATATTTTACACTGTACCCACTGGGATACATCATCATGTTGTTCACACGTCCACTTAACAATATCTGAATACATAGAGTTAAAAAAAACAACAGTAATTCTAGTATTTCCATTAAGTGGCTTAAGGCAAACAGCTTCTGTAAAGCTGTTAGCTGAAAACAAAAATGTCACATAAAAACTGCATCGCCCAATTTACTTGAAAATTCTCATTTGTTCTTAAATGCAAGAAAAGCGTTATATAACCTACCTTCACCACCATTTTCAGAAAATTTAGTTCTTTATACCTCTGATTAAATCAGATTTTAAATCTGTTCTCTGGAACTTATTTTGAGGTTTATATACCTCGACATCTAGGACACAGAAAGGAAAACAACACTAAGCAAAAAGAAAAAACTTTCTTTCTCTCATGTTACAACATCATGTAAACCGGTGTTATAATTATATCAGTGACAGCATTCCATTTGACCGAGATTCGCCGAACTTTAGGGTGAGGTGAAGTTTTCTTTTTGCTAATAAGCAATGTATATATAGTTTGTTTGTTTCATATGAACCAGATTGTTCTAAAATATTGTCACTTAGTCCAGTGCAGGATCACCAGACAAAAGAAGATCCGTGAACTGCCCCCCCCCCCAACTCTTAAGCTAACTAAATTCGGTACATATTTTGTGCAAACTAGCAAAAATAGTGCCGCAAATTCCAGAAGTTGTGCTGCACTACAGTTAAAATTATGTATCAATCTCTTTGGGGGTACTTCACTCGAGCTCCCCCTGCCCACACACACAC